ATTCAGAACCGAACATAGAGCATCACACAAGAAACTGAGTACAAACAGAGTACAGTAATTCCAGTATATGGGTCAATACAGTGACAACATGTCATCAGTCACACTCACATGCTTGTCCTTTTAATTCTGAGGTCGCTTAGGGTGTCTCAATATTTCACATTACTGCCAAACAAAATGCCACTGAAAAACAACCCTGATATCTTACGGCGTTACAAGCATATCCATCAACCATCAAGCAATGTAACGCCACCTTGACTGCTGAACGTACAGCATCTATATAATAAATATGCCATTATGCACAATTGCTTAGACATGCACATACATTACAGTCTATACACAGTTGCTTAGATTTGCACATACAGTCTCCAAACACTATATAAGCCTTGCACATTGTGTTACATATGCATATACTGACAACACTGGTCATGCACATTTGTGTATGTCTCTTTTTTAATCTCAGCAGTTAAATAACCATAGAGAGAAATATAAATGTATTTATTTGTTCTGATTTTGTTCTTATTTTTTATTTTAATCTTGGCAGACAGTATTGTTATTAATCTGTAAGAGAGAATATTTATTAGTTTATTGTTATTAAACTCTGCAAATCTGTTAACCTGTTTTCTGAGAAAATCAATGATCTCACATGTGTCTCCTACAGAGTATCAGCGGAGATCTCAACAATGTCTCAAACTGTGCTCAGATTGGCCGAAACTATCAGAAATCTGAGATTTCAATATGAACTCCAATATTTCTCATTGCGTTCTCACAAGATCAAATGATCTGAGCTGCTGTTCACATTTTCTAGCTTTATCCTTACTGTATGACAACTATTGTCTCTTTTGTGTATTTTATTACTCCTAAGGAACTTTAGGAGTACACTTGAAACTAGACATTAGTGTTCAGTTTCATGCTATCATTAGCACAGCGCAACGTCTTAATATTAGTCTCATTCTTTTTAAAGTTATAGTCAATATTCAATATTATTTCAGATTTAAACATAAATTAATCAAGTAAACAACAACATTCCTTGATAACCAGACAAAATTCCACGTGTTCATTTAGCTACTGTAGTAGTAGTTCACTTGACACCATATGCCAAGAAATGCACAATATAATATGTTAAGAATTTGACAAATTTAACTGATTTTTACTACAGTAAACTGTGGTAATGTGGTTGTAGTCATCACTTATTAAAAAATGAAAAAGAAAATAAAACAACAGAAATATTCTGAAACATTTTTACACAGTTTGAATATCCAATACTCTACTACATTATTAATACTACTATATTGTTAATATAGTAATACTACTCTATTATTAATTAACAGTTAAACATCTGTAGTAACTATGATATTTTACTCAGTGTTATTTCAGTATTATTTATATACACCATTATAATATAATTGATTTAATGTAATGAATATAATTATTAATATATTAATGTATTTTCATTAATATAAATTACATTTTGAATAAGCTTTTATTTTTATATTTTCAGTTTTACTTTTCATTTTAGTTTAAGTTTTAGTAATTTTGTTATGTGCTTTTTGTATTTTTTTTTAAGATTTCTATTTATTATTTATAATAAGTTTAAGTTTAATGTTTTCCATATATACATATATTTATTGTCCTCATTTGTAAGTCGCTTTGGATAAAAGCGTCTGCTAAATGACTAAATGTAATATATATATATATATATATGGAAAACATTAAACTTAAACTTATTATAAATAATAAATAGAAATCTTGTGT